GTCACACTTTGCTTGGAGTGGGACCCCCAGTGAGATGTGATATGGGCAGCACCTGTTTATTAGAGAGCAGTGTCAGCACTGTGAAACAAAATAAGTAAGTAACTGGTGAAAACAGCTCTGCTAAAATAGAGGACTAGCTCTGATCAGGCTGGGCATGATATAACATGGTGGTTTAAAGCCGTGTAATGCCATTTTCCATTAGAGCTCTTGTTCGAGTCAGGAAGGGGTTTGATCCATTGATGGAAGCTGTTATACACAGACGAGAAAACCTCATCCATATTTCTCTTGAGATTGTACAAAGCTGACAGTATGCTCGCTGACCACAGTCATCTGAGACTCTCACACAAAATAACCCTCTTTTCATAAATAACAGGATTGTTGTTGTGGCGGACTGAGATTTGCTGTAGAATTCAGTTGTGTCGAACAAAGAGCTTCTTCTGGTTTTTAATTTGAGCTATTAAAAAGATTCATCTTTCTCTTTGTTCTCATTTTCTTTCCCCTCTTTCTCCCTTTCTTTTTTTTTTTTCCTTCCCCTCTGTCTGTCTTTAGGATAACTTAAAGCTGTTTGTCTGAAACAAAAGACTTGCGTGGGTCTGGTCAGTGGTGCCTCTGGATTGAATGGTCACGATTTCAAATCCTGCTTAGGACTAAACTTGGATGAATTCCATAAGCTAATAATGCAGCACAGTGTTTCAAATTGATGGAGGTGCCGTCCTCTAGATGAGACATAAAACCAGAGATCCAATCTGCTTGGCAGAGACCCCACAGGACTTATCAAAGATGAGTGGGGGGTGCTAACTGTTTTGCCCTTGTCAAATCCTTACTACCATCACGGTTTCTCTTGCTTTTCCAAAGCAATGACACTGGACCTTATGAAAATGAGATGGTGAATTTGAAGGAGCCATCCTTTTCCTAATTATTTAAAGCAGTTTGCAGTGTCTGGCAGAAGGGGGAAAGAGAGATAATCCACTCACTTGAAAGTGGAATGACCCTGAATTTCAAAAAGCAAAACAAAAGCGAGCGAATGGTGCCACCATGCTCTGCAGCAGTGACATTATTAAAGGATCAGTGAGCTATTAAAGCAGCAACATTTAGTACCTCCCCTAATGACTTGTACTGCTAACTGGTTTCCAAATTGAGATTTTTATTGCCTCTATGCACAGACAGAACAAGGCTGTGTCTGTGCTTCCAGAGGCTCGAGCTTAAGCAGACTGTTCACAATAGGATCAATGAATCGTGTCAGTTGAAAACTAGTAATGGCTTATGAGAGTTCCCACTCCTATGTCCTCTTTTCTTACCAGGGCTGGAAGCTTTGGGCTGTGGGGCATGGTGTGGATCATAAATACCCGGGATTTTGCAGAGAACCCATCACAGTTCTTTAACTTCCTAACATCTGTGAAATTTGGCAGAGTTGTGCATAAACAGAATGTCCTGAAATCTCCCCAGATCTGCTCATGCCATTCAAAGCGTGAATGTTGTGAGAAGGGCGTTTGCAAGAGGGACATTGGGCACACCGGTTCCCACTTCCAGATAAAAATATGGAGCATGGAGGAATAAGTCTATGGAAGAGGAAGGGAGATGAAAAGGTACTGCAGACACTAGTGAAAGTGAAGATACACCCAGATACACCCATGTTTCCACCATGACTCTCCCGAGTAGATTTTGACTGTCTTGTATGAGCTGAGCTCCCATGATGGGAATAGCTGGGAAATATCCTTCTGTCAAGTGCAGTTCAAACTAGGAAGGGAGTTCCTGTGGGCACACAGCATGTGTGATTGCAGAAAGGAAGCTGGTTGAAAACCAACCAACAAACCAAACCACCTAGCAAAAGTGGGTTCTGGTTGCAGTTGCTGTTATTTACGTGCTCAGGATACACTGTAAGCCAAACTGGAGTTTGGGTCTTCCATGCACCTGAGACAAATGCAACTGTTATTGCTTTAATTTGTTTTTATCCATTGGTCCTGCACACATGTGCTGCAGGAGGTTGCTGAGTGAATCATGCCAGCCCTCACCCAGGCTGGACAGTCACAGGGAGAGACTGACACTGCTGCTTCTAGTTTTATGTATCAGATGCCTGATTTCCGTGACAGAAACCGCTCATCCTTTGCGGGAGCGACAGGCAGAGCAGAGGGGGTAAGACGGCTGCAGAGACCAGCATTAGAACATGCACATTTTTTATCCCATGCTGGTTTGAGTCTCTTTCCATCAATGCTAACTGCAAGTTATTCCCATTTTGTGACTTTTTGGTGGCTGCATGTGGCACAGGTTTGCATTTCCAGTTTCTTCACACTTTCCATCCGTGTGTCCATGCTCTGCAAGATACCCTTACCTTTTTTAACAAAGCAAACAGGTCTCCGTGTGGGCTGAAAAGTATGTTCAGAACTGTAGAAAAATGGGGTGAAGTGGCCTTAGAGGCCCTTCTACACTTCCTTACCCAAACTCCATGCAGGACCAGTTAGACCTAAACCATTTATGTTTGCTGTGGGTCTAACCTGTTCTTGAAGACCACTGGTCTGGAGATTTCCAGATGTGCTAAGGCAGGTCGTTCCAGTGGTTAGCCATCCTTAGGTTTAGAAAGCTGTTCCCAAGACCTGAGCTCAGCAGTGGAATTGGATTCCTGCTGGTCAGGGTTAAGGCAGAGTTGTAAGGCAGGAGCTCGTGGAGCCACTTCCTTGGCTGCACCCACTCTCATCTAAGGACTTCCTCCCTCAGGACAGCCGGTCAGGTGTTTCCCACTGTGCAAACACAAGCAGTGTAGACAGGGAGAGAAAAGGGCAGCAGGGCCATTTCTGGCAGAGGAGCTTTCTGAGACTGGCACTGACAAAATGTCCTAGAGACTTTACTGAGTCCAATTACCACTTTATGTCTTTAAAGTGGTGAGTAAATGAAAGAAACTACAAGATCAAGCCACGTTAGTCTTCTCAATCCCTGAAGTGTCTGACAGCCCTCTCCCCTTCTTTCTTGCTTCCTCAGACTACTCTGAACTCTTAACCTTCGCCACCGCTTTGAGTTCACATCCGCAGAAACCAAGCTACCCCCAACCACCCCCAAACTCCGGTGACAATCACAAAACACTTCCAAAGCAACACTGCCCTCCCTCGAACTGATAAAGTTTAGGCTGTCTCCGACTTGCTGAAGTCTCCTGCACGTACGGTTGGTCTCGCCCGCCGGCGCTGGCTGCAGGGGAGCTCGCTGGGCACGGCCGCAGCCGGGGAACAGCCGGTGCTGATTCACACAACCAGCTCCCCTGTCCACGCAGACAACAGCCGGGAACACCAGCTGTTCAGGCTGTGCTGCGCTGTTGGGCTGAAGGATATGGATGCCCGCAGCACATATGGTATTAGGATCGCAGTGAGTGTATCAGGACAGACCCCAAAACAGAAGGGACAGATCCGTGTAACCATCACCAGGCACAGCAGTGGGAACTGGAAAAGCGGGACAAGATCACTGAGGAGAAAAGCAGCGTCAGGGGTCATCCTGAGCCACTAGAACTGGACCTCATTGCAGCACTAGCAGAGCTGGTGGCTGGCTTTTTTGCAGAAGTAGAGCTAAAGACTGTCATGTCAGTTTGACCTTCCTTATAAACAAATAAATAAGTGGTAAACAGAGATCTCACAGTGATGCCTGAACCTGATGTCTCATGCTCACTTGTTTTGATGTGTCTAATGTAAGTGGGCGGGTAATAAAAGCTTCATTTAGAAGCCAGCATCTTCAGAGGCGCTGCTGGAAGCCCCTGGGACACTGCACTTCTGGAATTTTCTTCTAATGGAAACATCAGCAGATAACTATTGATAAAGCAGAACATGCATGCGCGCACACAGAACAACCCAGCAATGGTTTATTTTCCTGGACTGCTGGGTGTGGATTGCAAAGGTCTCTTTAGATTCCCCAGGTTATGTTACCACCTCAGCTGCTGCATCAGCACTGCTGAGATGCCTGCCATGGTGACCATTTAGGACAGTGCCCTGAAGAAGTGTGGAGTTATTGTAGTGTGGATAGGCATCTGTTCCAAACAGGAAAATAAAGGAATCTTCAGCCCCCATAATACAGCTGTGGATAATGGCATCCTCTTCATATCTCCCACCCTGCAGATAAGGAGATGCTTCTCTGTAACAAGCAGACTTAGTGCTGACATTTCACACAAGCAGCACATTTACCCTATGTACATGTTGTCTAGGATATTATTTTTCAATGTATTCACAGGTTATTCAGCTTCTTTTTAGGCACTTGAGTCTTCAGGAAGGTCTGATTCCTGTGCATGTGAGGTCTCTGTGGCAGCTCTCATGTGCACCACCTGCCTAATGCTGGGCTCAGGGTAAACTGAAAGAGAAATCATGGCTAGTGAGGAGAGAAGACACTGGAGTTACTGCTGAACTCCTTAAGGTAACCTACTGTCCTTCCAGTTCAGTGCTAAAATCACCATTTTCAGATCCTGAATACAACAAAGGTAAAGAACAGCATATTCTCCCTGGACAGTGTAGGGGTCAGAGCCAAAGGTTTTTGGGGGGGCTACAGCTTTAATCCCAACCTTCAGCAGACTGGTCCATGGCTGGTTCATACCATGATGTAGCTGACCTCGTTTCCTGGATACAAGCACAGAAATACTGCCTGTATCCAAGCATTTATAGGTAATTATTTTCCCTGAATGTGGAAATTGGAGGGCCCCTTTTGTCTAGTGCATTATTTCATGAGAACCACAGGGATCTGCAACCAGGCGTGGGGGGGAAAGGGAGATTGTTTCCTCCTGTCTGTGGTTTTATGCAGCATCTGCCTGTGAAAACAAGAAGCAAACAAGATGACCCCCACCTTATCTGCTTGCATAAGTCATTTTGCCTGAAGCTTGAGCACTGTGGGATGGTTAGTGTAAAACTTGCTCTTGCATTAAATGGCAATAATTTACCTTTAAAGGCTGCTTTTATTATTATTATTATCATTGTTGTTATTATTATTATTATTATTTTTAATGATTTTAAAAATGTTCCTTAATTAAGAACTCCCAGATATGAAGCTTGGAAGAAATGTGGCCAGGACGTTCTTGGATTACTACAGGCTGAACTCCTTGGTGGAGAGACCACTAGGAACTACTCCTAAAACTCGGTAGGTCAGAAAGCAATTTCTCTTGCTTTAGCAGGGCTGCTTTTTTAATACCTTTCATGACTAAACTTCAGTTCTACTGCATTACGGCTTTATAATAAGCGTGCTAGTCTAACTGTGCCTATTTTATTGAAATTCCATTTGGAAATAAAGCATTTATGTTTAGGAAAGATACCTGGCTTCTGTCTGAAAAAGTATTCAGAGGATTTTGGAGATATCGATATCTTTCTTGAATTCTGTCTGCTGTACACCAATCTCACACCAGTATCTTTAATGGACTTACCCTTCATTTATCTCCCGAGAGTGAATCAGACCCACTTTATTTTACAAAGTTTTAATTCTGGAAGTGAAAACTTTTTCAGTGCTTCAGGAAATTACTGGCAAGCCTGTGCTAAAGGCAGAGTTCTCCATCCCCCCCTTGGACCTGCTGCAGGGCTGGCAGCCAGGTGACAGGTTCCTTCTGCCAGTCCAGCTGGGACATTTTACCTGGGGATCCCCTCCCACTGTAAGTCCTCACTCTGGTTTTACAACCAGCTCAGTGGATGTTAATCCAAAAGAAATTAGGATATGGAGTAAGGCACTGGTGAGCAATGCACAAAGGCATGAAATGCCTCAGCTTGACTCCCTGAAGCACTGCTGGCCCATCTCTGGTGTTGGCCAGCTGAGTCCTTTCAGTGTCCCATAGCTTGTGTGAGGAGCAGGGGAGATACCACTTCACTGTTTGTTGAGAACCATCATTCCTTGAACTGGAAAAGCCATGTAGCAACATGAAGAGAGAAGCAGAGCAGGAACCAGACCTGTTTCATGGGAAACACCATATTCAGAATTTACCTCTGTTCTAAGAAAACAGCAGTAATGCCCCCAAACTCAAAATTTTCATTTAAATGCATTTGGGTCAATTGCACTGTTTCATTTCGGTTTCAACTCTTAACAGCACAACCAAATATAATTTATGTTTTGCGATGGAAAAGGCAATTCCAAATTGGCAAGGGAGGCAGCTGAGCCTTGAGATTCACTCCCTCATTCTCCCCACTTTTTTCCTCCCTTAAAAAAGTAGCTGTTGGAAAAGTTACTTGTTTGCAAAGGAACACTTTCCTATTGAAGATTTTCTAGTGATGTGTAAGATGGATGTTACAAATATCAGCCCAGACCAGAGAGCAATTGCTGCAGCTTCTTCTGCAGCCTTTAAAAATCCTCTCATTGCAGCCATTCTGGCAGCTCCTTATATATATGGTCAGAGCCAGGCTGCCTGCATTAGGTGTTTAAACACCCTGCTTTGAGCCCATCTCCCTTTTCTGTTTGTGATCTTGACACCACAGTTTAGACTGGCTCAAGGAGGATTGTCAGCACTGCAGTTCTGAATGCTCTTATCTGCAGAGACCTGCAGGGTTAGCAGAGAAAAGCATCCAGCATCTTCCTCTCCTCCGGAAATTGAATGTATCATTTCTCTCAGACTCCCAGGGGCCACAGCCTCCAAGGCTAAAAACCCACAACTATTACTGAACCTAATTACCACCTGACAGCAAAGTGCTTTTCCGTAGCATCATTCAGTTACCTCATCAAAAGGAATGTTTGTTTGCTTTCTTCATTTTAAATTAAAGAACCACTGACAGTGGTAACTGAAGCATTTTAATCTCATGAAATATCCATGTCCATCTCTATAGAGACAGCCACGCCAGCAGGGAAAGATACACATCTACAATCAGGTTGCTCAGAGCAAATTTTTCTCATTCCTCCACCAGAACCTAATGGGGTGAGAGATCTTTTGTTTGGGAAGTGCTACCTCACAGTAAAATCCTAAATAAGGTAAACGTTCAGCCCAATGCCAACAGATGTTTAAGGAATAGATTTTTAAAGATTCATGTTGTTAATTTCCTGATGGCTTTCAAATACCAGCTTTTCCCTGCAAGTAGATAAATGCCTTCTAATTGTATCCTGGGCTTTGTTACCTGACATTTGATCAGAGCCTGTATATATATAAAATGTACACCAGTGAAATGAAACTGTTCTTTGAAAGGTTTCCTTTTGGAGAGGTTTGCAGTTGACAGCTTCAAACTGCTGAGAAACAGAAGGGAGATGGCTGTGGCTTTAAATATGCCTTGGCTAGGCAGTGGCACTAGGAAAGGACTGGAATATGTAAAATGATACTAAATATCTGTGTAATCAGGACTAATTATATGGCACGGTTATTAGCTCGAAACAGGACATGTTGTGCCCACAGTTTATGAAAATATATTAAAACATTACCAGATTCCACATACTCATTGAAAGAAAGCTGCAGAGTTAATAAACGTGTAAGGGACAACTAATTGGCTGCTTTGTCCCAGCCTACTACAGGCAGAACAATTTCTGTTTGAGGAAATTAGTGCAGCCAAAATGTGTTATAATGATAGGCCTGGAAATAGCAACAACCTGCAACACTTGCAGAGCAGATCTGACAGAAAGATCATAAGGAAGGAAATGTTTGTGTTGGAATCACCATGTTTCAGAGAAGGAAATTTAGGCACAGAAAGGAGATGGACCTCAGAAGTCAGAAACAGGGCTGGTACCCAAATTCAGGCACCTTTCAAGATCTTTTTCCATGCAGTCAGGCTGCCAGAGAGCAGCCATCATACAGTATAGGCAATGCAGGCAGTTCAGTGGGAACTGAATTAGGATCATCTGGAGCAAGAAGCAAGAACTGACGCAACAGCTCTGGTTACAGAACCAAGATTGAGGCTGGAGGTAAGGTACCCTCTGCTATCCCAAATGCTTGTGCAGCTTATTTCAAGAGGTCAAGAGAAAGAGCTGTATCTGTATTCTGTGATTCTATGTGTAATGTGCTCATGTGCCTGTAAGTGAATCCAACTGGTTGGCTGGACCTGTGGTTAAATTCCACCAGCTCTTGCCTACAGAAGCCCTTGGGTCAAGTGCCACCTGTAGATAAACATGTCATAGAATCATAGTCTGGTTTGGGTTGGAAGGAACCTTAAAGATCATCCAGTTCCAACCCCACTTCTATGGACAGGGACACGTTCTGCTAGATCAGGTTGCTCAGAGCACCATCCAGCCTGGACTTGAGCACTTGTGGGAATGGGGCATCCACAGCCTCTCTGGGCAACGTGTTCCAGTGATGGGGCCTTGGGTTCCTTGCTATGGAACTATGGCCACTGCCCTCCCAGGAGTCAGGCTCCCCTGACTTCCTGAGAGACTCCCATGAATGTGATGTTTAGGCTGGAGCCCTCAAGTCTTTGCTGAGCCTTCTGTGCATGGGCAAGGGCAGTTGGGGTGCTGTGTTTTATCCCTGAGTAGGTAGTTGCTAGAAAATAATGCTGAACCTATCTTTGTGGTTATAATCTCTGAAGGTTTGGGGTGATTTCTGGGGCTCCTAACTCTGCTCTGGGCGACCCTGTTCCCTCCCAGTGTGTCCTCACCAGTGAGAGGGGGTGGTCACAGCTGTAGGCAACTGTAGACAGCTGCAGACAACAAGTTTAGAACCTTCTGCTCCCTCTGTATCCGAAGGAGCCTTTGGGCAAATCTCAAGTCCCCAAATAGCTCAGATCCCTGAAAAGACCTCTGGCCTATGCACTGAGTCTGTAGAGAGGTCAGACATGAAAATTAAACGCTTCAAGGGTGTTCTTTTTAGCACTGTCTTTACTTCTTAGACAGCTCTTTATTTTATGGTTATTCTCCCTTGCACCCTCCCTCCCACCACAGCTCATCCAGTCCTTCCCAGAACCCTTCAGCCCCTTCCCTCTGACCCCTTCCCCCAGTTCCCCTTGAGAGCAAGCCCAGTGACCACACAGGGTTTCCCACAGCCTGCAAGGGGAGGTCAGGACTTGTTTTAAACAGTAACCCCGATGTGTCCTGCAGTCCTCGTCGCAGGGAGACCCCGTGATCCCAAACAAACACCCGGTTCAGAAAGATAATGTCCCCTGTTATCCGCGTGCTAAGCAATTATTATCCTGAAGGTGATGTGTCTGCAGCGAGATAGGAAAGCGTCAATGACTCAGCCGGGGAGGGCAGGAAGGTTAGAATATTTTCCTATGTGAGCTAATGAATTAAAAGCCTTGCTGAAAATGCTGGATGTTCTCTGGCGTGACAAGCCAGCAGGCCCATGAATTTCTAGCAGGGTGAGAGAGAACGCTGTGCTGCCTACAGAAGCTGCTGGAGAAGAGAGCGCTGCCACTTAGATGTGCTTGAGAGAGGCTCAGGAGAGCCCGTGCTGGACACAAAGGGTGGGTTAAGTGGGCACAGAGCAGGAGAGCCCAGTGCAGAAAGGGGCTGTCAGGCAGCAGTGAAGGTTCATGCCCTTTCTTTCCTCTTGATATTGTCCTTTTCTAAGCTGTTTAGTGACCAGCAAGTTCTGCTCCCAGTGTGCTCACTGAGAACCATTTGAGTGGGGCTCCCTCTGATGCTGGCAGTGGCATAGGGAGCTTGTCCTCTTACTGAGTCTCTGTCCTGCTCTTGCCTCTTTCTACTTGTGCCAAAGGAAAGGTTAAGATTGCTTGGGTTGAAAGTGAGAAACATCCTCCACTGAAATTGTTAGTAAAAGGTGAAAAATCCATAAGAGATTAAGAGAAAGCAGAGTAGAGCTGTTACAGGAAAAGGCTAAAGTAAGAGAACAAATTTTTTGCTGAAAAATTCAAAATTCCAGTCACTTTGAATGGACTGAAGTCCATCCCTTTGCCCATATCAGCATTGCTCTGTTCTTTCACTCTGGCTCACTGTGCAGCAGAGCCCTGCTCCAGCACAGCATCAGCAAAGTAGCTCTCGCCTCCTTAAACCACTAACAATTTTTGTCTGAGAGCCATCGGTTCCATGTTTCTCATATTCTGAACACACTGAAGTGCTGAGTCTGCAAACAGCTCTGGCTGAGGTTAGGGAAGCTGGGATTTGAACAGACATCATGTGGGTACCCTGAAAAATCCCACCTGGGCCTCGCTGGTGGAGCATTCTGCAGCTCATGCCTGCCCCATATTTTCCAGTTGGTAAAACCCAGGTGCTCTGCTCACAGGAGTGTT